TCTCTCTCTCTCTCTCTCTCTCTCTCTCTCTCTCTCTCTCTTGCCCTCTCTGTCCTCATCTCTCACCTCCCTCCCTGTCTCTCTCTCTATTCTGCTCCTGTTTCTCTTAACGTCCAGAACCAGTCTGCTGGCCACGTCTAGTCTACTGCTTTCTCTCTCCGCTCTGGACTCTTCCAGATGCCGCTGACTGTACTCTCCCTCGGATCTACAATTAAAAACCTTCTTCTCTTCCACCACACCGTGGAGCGGTCATGTAGTCAGTTTATACACCTAGTAAAGAGTGAGAGTTGATGAGGACAGAAAGGTCCAGCATGCGAGACTTTCAACCCAACACGGAGAGTCAAGAGCCTTTCATGTGGACGTCAGGTTCAGCCATGCAGAGAGATCAGGGCAGTCACTCGCCCTCCTGTCCTGTGCTTTAGTCTAACAGAGATGGACATCAGTCAGCTAAACAACCCAAGGATGTGTGATTAGTTACAGTGGTGGTACGTTATCTAAGGAGACAGAGGAGGTCGGGAGTATCCACACTAGAACTCACCTCATCCCTAGGGAAGGAGAGGGAGGAGGAGGAAGATAACAGGGAGAGAAACGGAGTGGGGAGAAAGAAGGGGGTAGAAGGGGTGGGTGCGGGAGAGAGAGCATGTTGCCTAACGTAGCTCTTGCAGGCCACAGAACACCTCAGGAAGGCTTTTACTCTAGGAGGCTGCTGTATAATTGTGCTCCCTCCCCCCACAAACCCCCACCACCACCAGCAGCAACTCATATGCTGGAGTCCTAACTCCCCATGTCTCAGAATGTTGCTATTTGGAGATGAGTTCTATAAATAAAGTCACTAGGGTAGGCCCTAATCCAGTCTAACTGATGCTCTTCTAAAAGGAGAAATATTAGATGCTGATATACATGGAGGGAAAACCGTGCGAAGACCTGGGGAGGAGGTGGTCCTCCGCTAGCCAAGGAGAGAAACCAGAAGCAGATCCATCGCTCCGTGGTCCTGCTAGCCTGAACCTTCATCCTGGCCTTCCAGCCTCTAGAACCATGAGACAATGATTTCCCATTGTTTGGCCACAAGTGTGTTAGGGCAGCCCTGGCAGAGTAACTGAGGGTTGAGTGTCTGCCCTTCTTGTTAATAGCTGACTACAGGACCTGGGAACACATGGCTGTGAGTTTAAAAGAGAGGCCTCTGAGGCACGAGGACTCACAGGACAGCCCTGTCCATCTGTCTGGTCTCATTGTTCTCCGGCTGGCCTCGCGTCTACTCTAGGACATTTGGAGCAGACACTGGTCCTCCCCTCCTGATGGGAGCCGGGCTTCAAGGAGAACCCCTGATGTTCAATCCGGTCCAGTTATAAGAGTCCTGGGAAGGATGAGGTTTACTGCCAGGAAGAGAAACCCCAGGAAGCCAACTTCTCTGCTGCTGGAGACTCATGGGCAGTGTGTGTGTGTGTGGGGGGGGGGGGCAAGATTCTCCAGCCATGACTCACCCTACACTTCACGGGGAAGGGAAGCGGAGAGGGTCCGCAAAGGCCATACTGAAAAGCAGTTAAACTCGTTTTCATTGCACAGAGGTGAAAACCGTGCCATCGGATGCGTGCACCACAGCCACAGCCACAGCTGCCACGACTGAGTGTGTGACAAGCAGCACCATGTGGACTTAGTGTCCTTATTCAGGCTGGGCACGGGGCACACTGGACTGAACTCCAGGGGACCTTTGTGCTTCTGCCTAGGTCCCCATTCCATTCCTGCTCTCTCTGGCCTCTTGGGACGACAGGGGTGTCTGCCCTGGGGTGGGGACACTACCATTGGGGGGAGGTTATGTCCAGCAGATTAAGAGCAGGAACCAAGTTGGCAGAGCTTCGGCCCTAGTGGTCCAGCTAAAAAGGAAGGGCCCGGGCTGTTGGGAGGGGAGAGTTTGTGGCTGGAGTTGGAGCTGCCTGGTTTTTCCACTCCTGGTGTTTCTGGGCCTGAGAAAACACTTGGAGCCGCAGAAAGACTTGGACAGACAGCGTGGAGGAAACCCCCGAAGTGGGGGGGCCCAGCAGGGAGAAAAACAGACTCTTTCGGAAAGGGCAGGAGATTGGCAGGTGCTAAGTGGGGGGCGTGAGGTGTAGCCAAGGGGCTGGTGCCACACACCACGTCAGAGTCTCCGAGCCTCAACTCCCTGTCAGCCAGGGGTTCGGGGATGGACACTCAGTCCTTTCAAGGCAGCTGACTGGCATCAGCCTGGCCACCTGCCCGCCAGCATTTATGGGGCACCAAATGTTTATAAAATGTAGTACTGAGCCAGGTAGGTGGTAGCGGCGGCGGCGCACGCCTTTAATCCCAGCACTCGGGAGGCAGAGGCAGGCAGATCCCTGTGAGTTCGAGGCCAGCCTGGTCTACCAAGTGAGTTCCAGGACAGCCAGGGCTACATAGAGAAACCCTGTTTTGGAAAACTGAAACGAAACAAAACAAAAAAATGTAACACGGTCGGCAGAGGAAAGCTTCCTAAACACAGGCAGCTTAGTGTGATGTCCTTGTGCTTGAGCCGCGCTGAGGGAGCAGTGACAGCAGTGTCCCCATCCCTTCTTTCGACGGGGTAGCATGGAAGCCGCGAGGCGAGGCGCTCACAGGAGGGGGAGCCTGCTTTCACAGTGCTAACCTGGCCGCCAAGGCTAGCCACGTGACACTTTGCTGCGCCTTGCCAGGTAAACATACAAAGCACCACAGGTTGTCCAGGAATAACAACTCCAGTGAACAGTGCAAGCCTTATAGATGAGGACGGGAGGTGGGGGGGGTGAGGGGGTGGGGGGCTGGGGGGGTTTGGAAAGCCAATGAGAAGTCAGAAAAAGAAGCCTGCTTTCTTAAGTTACCACTGGATGCCACCTGTCCTTGTCCCAGCAGGATGCCAAAAGAAAACATTTTTTTTTTTTTTTTTTAAGAAGGAAAATTCTATTCCCTCCTGTAATACACACTTTCACGCACCGATCAAGTGGATGCTGGGCAGGATGCATGCAGTACAAGAGTCGGAGACAAAGGCTTTCTCCTCTGCCTATGTGGGAATGGCTTAATATCTCCCTTATCGGTGATTCCAACTCAATCTCAAGAATAATCTATTCAGAGTGTGTGGGACAGGGGGTAAGCTGTGAGGAGCTGAAATCCTGCCTGGAATCCATTTTCCACCCGCCACTGGAGACGCTAGTTATCAGCATGCATCACAGTCCAGGAAGAGTGAGGCTAGGAGTCCATCAGCATGGCTTCCTTGGGTCCTGCTGGGCTGCGGCAATTTATTCTAGGAACCACACTGTAGAGCGGGACCAAAACTAGACATTCGGGTTTTGCATATTTCATCCCTTAACCTAGCACTTTGACCCTTTCTGTAGTGGGCTGGGATGGCTGCTGTGATTAATCAAAATGTGTTAAAGCTTGATATCTTCCATGTCAAAGATGAGCTACCTTCAGAGGAGCATTTGCTGAAATTTTAATGTTTTAAATGTGTTGTCCTCGCCCGATACTTAATTTCACCCCCATGTGAGACAGGGCAGCATACAGCCCAAGACAGCCTCCAACTTTGCTATGTAGCTGTATATGACCTTGAACCTCTAATCCTCCTGCCTCTACCTCCCAAGAGTTAAGATTACAGGCACCCACCACCATATACACTCAATTTATACAGTGCCTTGTACACTTTACCAACTGAATTACGTCTCTGATCACCAAAGGAAGGTTTTGTCTTGATGTTTGAAAACTCAGGAGATACGATATGGCTTTAAACAACAACCAGTTCATCTAGGTCAGTTGCTGACCTGACGTTGTGGGCAGCCCATGCAGAGGCCAACACTCTATCAGTCAAGTGCTAAGGGCTCAGAGAGCCAAGCGAGGAGAGTCCAAACAGGCGGAAGTAGTGACGCCAACCAAGCCAGTGTATTTCCTTCTCTACAATCTGTTCCTTCTGGGCCCCTGCAGGTGCTCAGTCGGCCGCCATTATATTAGCATCCCTCCGAATTCATGGAGTACTTATCCAATGACGGTCACGGGTTAACAGCAAGATTAAGGCAAGAAGCTTCTCATAAACCAGTTCTGTTTCATTTCAAGGACAACCATTCATCTGAAATCCTACCCTTCCACTATGTTGCTGTTGTTGAAATGTGTTTTCTCTCTCTTGCCCCTCCTTCTTTTGAGACCGGGTCTCATGGATCCAAAGCTGTCCTTGAACTTGCTTTGTCATAGAGGATGAACTTGAGCTCTTGACCTTCCTGCTAGCTCCTGACTGGGGGCGTTATGGGTGTGCGCGGCCACGTTTGGTTTATGTGGTTTATGTGGGCACAGAACCCAGAGCTCTCTGCACATTAGACCAGAACTCTACCAACTGAACCCTATCTCCAGCCCTAAAATGTGCTTTCATTTATGGAGAATTGGTGTCATTAGATGGGAATTTTCTTGTTAATGTTCGCACTTAGCAAAATAAAAGCACTTTGACTGGGCTTGGACTATTGTCAAACTTGAATTTTGATGATTTTTTTTTAACCAAAATTCTTGGAAATTTTACTGGTCGGAAAACCTTCTGTGTTGAAACGCCACTTTCAGCAGAGTGTGGTGGCTCATGCCTAAAATTCCTGCAATGAGAAAGCAGAGGCAGGAAGATTGCAATGCATGGAAGACCTTGTGTAAAACAACAAACAAACAAACAAACAAACCCCACCACCACCACCACACCACCCAAACCCTAACTGATCCTCTAAGGAAGCTTGTGTTCTGTGTTTTGCCATGCAGGCATGTATGCCTGTCGAATCCAGGGCAGTGTGCAGTGAGGGTGAGCCGCACTGGAATCCTACAGGAACACCCTAAACTAGGATGGAGTCCAAGGAAAACGTGTCGACCTGCCCATCTTGCCACAGCTCCTCCGGGCTGCCTCGTCTCCAAAGAACAAAACCAGATGGACACACGTGCCCCAAGGACAAGAGGAGGAACTGGGCAGATTATAGTCTGGAAGGAACATTTATTATGGGTGATTTAGCAGCCTTCAAAAAAGAGAGTTATTATCAGTCATCTCCTGTCAGAATCCCTCTCTCTCTCTCTAAAGCCCAAACAAGAGGAAATTGCTTCAGAAACGAGTGTAGCCAGTGCTCTTTCCCAGCCTCCCCCTTGTCTGAGGCCCAAATGAAAGTTCTCTCTGATGCTTGTCTCCCAGTCCTTCTGCCTTCGGAGCCTCATCCCCGTTTCCACGGTGGCCCTAGTGGCTCATTGGGCGTTTATGAAAATGCCATTTTCTTCTGTTCCAGAAAACGTGGAAGTAAAAGGCAGAAAGTTTGCATCAGAACAGACCCACATGAGTTCACTACACGTGCAGTCAGCTCTCTTCTAAGCAGCTCAGGGAAATGATCTTGTTAATGCCCCCAGAAGGCAAAGTCTTCCGTAGCAACGCCAGGCTCTCCTTCCTTCCATACCTGGAGCCAGGGCTCACTGATGTCATACTGAGTGCGGCTGATGTCCTGAGTTTACAAGCAAGACAACAGCTTGACTTGTCTAGCTCAGGGTGGGGGTGGGGGTGGGGTGGGGTGGGGTGTCGCCAAATCCAGGGATGTGGAGTTGGCTTACATGTCTGGGGACTCTTCTGGTTCTTTGACATCGACCCGCACACTCCATATTCACTACAGGAATGTATATAAATCTGTGTCAGTGTGCTCATAGTTTACAACTTGTTGATCACTCCGTGGCTGCTGTGGGTGGGCGTACAATCATCACCACCTTGGATGTTCTGTAGTTGTGTGGGTGTGCACTAAATTATTTATATGTGTGCACATATCCCAGAAGGGTTAGCAAATTAGTACACCAAGTCTGTGTCAACACTTCTATTAGACATGAAACTACTCACGACTCACTTTTGGCTCTACCAACAGTTGTTAACATGGCAAACTAGAGGTTGATGAAGCAGGAAAAATAATAAACCATGTGAGGTTACTCTCCAAAATAACTTCTTTTAAAAACACGCCTTTGCTGGGAAAGCAAAATGGAGCTGGAGAAAGGCCAGAGAAATGCA